CGAAACGTGGTGAAATGTTTGCAGACAGTTCCGCCGGAAGCTCGCCGCTTTCAGACAAGTACATTAGCGCATAAAAATATTCGAACACTCGTGGAAACCTCTCGCGAATATGTTACTTGCGTTAGATGAAACATTAAAAAATTTCGTTAGTACCATCGTAGATACTCGACTGTCACGATTATACTGATAAAGTTCGAAACAAATCCCAAGATATATATAATTACGGGATTATTTGGTGTAAATGAACATTTCGCCAAGATCTCACAAGTATTTAAACAGTCGAATTTCCATTATGTTGATGTGGACCACAATACTCAATGGGACCATTTGTAACATTTATCACACGATGGAGATGCACGCTGAAAATGTTAATTTTCAAATTCTCGCACGATGAAAATACTAATTTTCTGCCGAATATATGTTTGCGGTAAATATCTTGTAATCTATATGCATTTTTAAATTTCAGATTTTACCAACATAGATATAAAAGTCACGCGTCTCTTTGCAACGTTGATGTTTCAAAATGTTTTATATAACGCGTACCATATATGCATAAAAGTTTCCTGTGGTAAATATTCAAATACCTTCGCGAGACACTGTGTGCTACGAGATTTCTCTGAGATCGTGAACTGACAGAAAAGTCGTAAATGCCTGGCCACGAGCCAACGTCGAAAGAAAAATCACGTGCATTTGCATGCTTTTTGAGACCAAAAAGGCGAGTTCGCGAACCCGCGCATCATGTAATTTATCCTTTTTTCTATCGGGTGTATTGCTGGTCGAAAATATTTTCATTTTGATGGATGAATCGTTGAACGTTCGTAATATGAAAAAATTTTTTAATCGAGGAGTAACACCGATTTCAAACTCAATTCTCTCGAAAACAACATTTAAATAGAACAAGTTCTATCTTTTTCTATTTTTTCACTTGTTTTTCAACGTAGAGTACCTTCCTGACCAATTGTAACACGCGTCCTGTGTTACACTGTATAAAAAAGAAAAAAGGAATATTATGAAAGAAAACTCGGCGAATTTTCGAATTGGATTTTTTGACAAACGAAGCTTTGAATAGGAATTGTTTAGTCCGTTATGGGGATAGTTTATTCTATTTTCATGTATCTTTTCATGTAGAATAAACTGTCCATTTGTGGCATATGTCCTATGTTACGTTCCGTAAAAAAGAGAAGAAAAATGTCATGGGAGAAAATTCGAAAATTTTCAGATTGGATTTTTCGAAAAAGCGGAGCTTCGAATGGGAATAGTTTATTTTACATTTTTCAACTTATTTCTGCGCGTAGAATAACTTCCTCGCCAAGCGCACCACACGTTTTGTAAAGGAGAAAAACGGAATTTCATAAAACGAAGTAAATGGATCTCCAGCTTCCGGTGAATATTATCACACGATAATGACGACACGTGCATCCGTTTCATCATTCAGGATTCTAGTGAATCTCACGTGGTTTTTGGCATTTTCTGTCAGCTTGATGTTTTGTTGCGAGCCTTTCACCGGATAACTGTTCCGCGAATACGACCTGTGTATCCGGCTACGCGACTCCTACGATATTAAGAAAATGATCCGCGTTAAGTTTCCGGTTTCCTGAACAATATTTCAGATACGTGTATCAGGTATACGGAATTATATTGAAAGGATAAAGGTGAAATTCAATGTGAAATGAATCATTCGACGAACGAATTCTGGAAATGATTGCGGAAAGGATGATCTGAATACTTGATAACTCGATCGCCAGATAGTTTAGTCCATTTACAAAAATTTACCATAAACAGTAGACAGGCGACGATCTGGATCAGTTCAAATTGTATTCTTACTTATAATTACACTTCTGTATTAAAATATATTTTCTACCTTACAATTTATCCACGAGTTTCTCTGTTTATACATCAAATAACCTCAACAATTTTTACACGTGCTTACTGTCCACTTTTCGGACATCCATTTTCACTGATTCAACTGTGTGTAGTTTCAAGCTATTTACATTTAATATTCATTTAATGCGATATTTCCAGACTCCGGTTGAGAACTGTAAATCAAGCGTACGCAAAATTTCGGATACCCTGACTAATCTAATCTCAGGCGATTATCCTATCCCTCTAGCAATTCCTGATTTCAAGTATGTATACTTCGTAACTGGATTCTTGACGCAACACTAAAACCGTCCCAATAAAGTGAGAAGCAAATATCCATTCCCCGTGGGCCGGTATCGTTTAGTCGAAACCATCCTACAATTGTGTTTTCACAACCAGCCAATTAAGCTGGACAAATCGCGGATCAAATAACGCTACGTTTTTAGTTTGGCCGATACCTGAAATATGCGCGTTGACGTATGTCGATTTTCCATGAAAGGAACCCTGTCATCGTTCGTGTAATCCGACGAAAAAACCAATAAACTCGTCGTCGTTCTTTTGTCGACTCTCTTTTTTGCCGGCATCGGCGTCAAAGGGAAGTGATCGACTCGGATATCCAATATTTGATGATTCCAAGAATTTGACGAAAATAAAAACATTTGGGTAAAATTAGTCATTTGTTCGCAACATCCTCCATATGGATAGTTTCTGTTTATTTACTAATTTTAATTTCATCTTATTCGTCTTAAGAATTCTAGCGATTCGAAGAAAACGAAGGGGTTTGGATAAAGACCTTTATTGTTATCGCTATGCTGATGTTAACATCTACGATCATTCGTTAAATGAAAATTGTTGCTGATGAAGAGGATCGTTGATTATTTGTTAATTTTAAGTCTTCACTGGAATATGAATATTCATCGACTTTAAGAATTCTAAATATTCGTGGAGGATAAAGGTATTTGAACGAAGATATTACAGCCAATTTATTCTAGTCTGGAATAAAGATAGTTTCTGTTAATTTATTAGTGTTAATGTTGAAACTTTATTCATTCTGGTATTAAGCAGGATATAAATGTTTGATAGTTTCAAGAATCGTAGAGATTCGCGAAAGACGAAGGTATTTAAAAAAAGATAATTTTTCTTGAAATTTATCGTAGTCTTAAAAACGATGTATATGGAGATTTCGTACAATATGAATATGAATAATTATCGATGTTTGATAATAAATGGATTATCACGATCTAATATAATAAATTTAGAATTATTTGTATGTATAGTATTGGATGAAATTATTTTAACATCGAAAAAAATGTTTGAACTTTCTATCCGCTTTCTTTTTCCTCTAAATAAATCATAAATAAAACACATCGTTCCAAAATAACTTAAGCCATTAAGTACCAACGTTGCGTTAATGCAACATTTCATTTGCAATTTTTGTTTCCATCAATTTACGTTATAGAACTCTGTTTTTTTAAAACATTGCAGTTATAAAAGAGAATTCTAAGATTCTGTTAATTCTTTCTTTTTCTTTTTCGTTACCATTCCTGTCATGTAGATGTATCTAGATATTACGATGATATTAACATGGACAATATTAAAACAAAATTTGCGTACGCGGCAATTTTATCTATGACAGCTTTCAAGAACTATGATATATAAAACAGTTCAATTTCAGTTTGGCTCAATCGAGCCAAATTTCCATCACGTAGGTCGAAAGCAGCTGAATTTACGTGAACCTCGCAAAGGTTGAGTGGACGAACCTGTTGCCTGTGCGAGCAACCAGAAAATAGGAAAACACTCGTTAAATAAAAAAGTATTGCTATGCGCCTGATAGAGTGGGCGTCTGATGGAAGAACGAAAAGTTAAAAAAGGATATCCTATATTTGAATTTCCTAACGTCATGGACGCTTGGAGGAAAATCAAAATTCCTTGGAACGCGAGATGCAAACGAGAATCTTCCTTCTTTCTTAGTTTTAGAAAATCTTGCACAAGAGTCCTCCATTCTGTCGCGAATGATTTTAGACAATTGAAATTCCTTGGAATACAAGTTGCAAAGTCATCTCTTTTGCGCTAAATTAACTTTTCTTCGACGGTAACAAGCAATTCGAACTGGTCGTCGAATAATTACCAAACCATAAAATAGCATAAAAATGCACAGAACTGCAGCATTTCTTGAAACGCAATTTCAAATTCACAAGAAAAGGTCATTTCATTCTTAGAAAAGTAGAGAAATCGCAAAATACGACTATACGGAAGGGTAAATTCACAGATTAGGTTACGTTCACGTGCAAAACTTTGGCTTTTAACGATCCTAAGTTCACGAACTTCTCCATTTCAGCCGTCATGCGTACATGGTTGAAACATCAGCATTTAATATTCATTTAAAACATCATTAAAATCCTGCATAACCGTAATAAAGAAAGAACAAACAGAAAGATAAAATCGGATTATTCCGGCGTATTTTGCCACACTCTCTTACTTCGAAGATTCCAAAATGTATTTTAACAAAATGCCTATTCTTAATTCTCCTCTTGCATATAGATAGTTCTATTAAAATTCCATATAAAACAACAATTTCCAAAAGCGTGTTTAACCACAAGGAAAAGAAGAAGAGATAAAATAAGTACGATAAATAAAAAAACAAAATAAAAGAAACGAAATAGAAGCGAATTATTCATACGCGTTTTACCACGCCGAATATCGCAGACAACTCACGACAACAAAAAATACTACGTTTCACCATAAATCAACCATCTCACAAAACTTTTTAAATTCGTTTGACCAGAGAAACCTATTCTCCACCCTTTCTCCGTCCAAATTTATTTATTCACTTGAAACGACATTTCCAAAGTTCTGCTTAACAGAGCAACAAAGAACAACGAGACAATAAATTAAATATAAGAAATAAAATAGAACCGAGTTGTTCGCACGTATTTTATCAAACCGACTTCGAAGGCAGCTCGCGACGAAGAGAATTGAATGCCGATCGCGAGAAGCGCGCGTATGCGCACACGGTGTGTGCGAAAAAGACGACTATACCAGGATCAGGGTTGGACAGAGAGAGATGGAGATCGAGAAGAGCAGAGGGGTAGTCGACACGCGCGGCCCACGGCACACAGGCGGCTTACACGCGTATAAAGGGTGGCGTCGCGATGCCCTGATCGGCATATCTCGTGTAGACAGCAAACTCGCGGCGCTCGGCATCGTATACTCAACCTCGAACACCTTATCTACGATTGTGAACCACGTGAAACGGAAACGGAGCTACAGTTTCGACTCCCAAGGGAACATCCACCTCGATACATCGTCTACTTCGCTTCTATAGCAACAGGTGAGCTGATCGTTTCTTCGATATCGCGGCTACCGGTGTATTTTTCTTACTATTTTTCTATTTCGTTCGGTGGAAAGATTGTTTGGAGAATTCCTACGACGTATCAGCTGTGAATAGTTATAGCGGTTGAACTTTGTAAGAAAACATTGGTGTTGGGATTTCTTTTTGAAAATAACTCGTACGAGCTACGAACAGGAATATAAATATACAGGTTTGATTTTGTGACAGAAAATCGATAGGATTCTTTATGAATCGATATAATTAATAGGAATCGAAGTTTACGAGACAAGTTGGTGTTATTTCCTGAGAATTCATATAAGCTGTGCGTTAGTATATAATTGTAGGAGTTGAATTTTTCGAGAAAAAGGTGAGAAGATTGAAAAAGTTCATTCATATAAATATAGTGTTCGAATTTTATGGGAGAGAATTGGAGAGATTGGCGATGGGGATGGCTTTGGCTATGATGCGATGAGACAATTTTAAAAAATTAGAATTTCGTCCTATGGGTTTGGGTTGAAAATCTAAATACAAATGTGCATATAACGCAATATGACAATTGAGAAATAGGAAGTATAGTTTCTATTAATAGTATTTTATTTCACCCGTAAGATGATTTTGAAGTTGTATATTAAATTTTGCTTCTTAACGCTTGATAATGACTATTTGAAGATTTATAGGGGGTGTAGTGAGGTGATTAGGTGGAAAACTGTGATAAGTGATACAATTTTCGTGTGAAGATCTTGATACAATGATATTTAAGGTATTCGATGCTTTCGATCTACCTTTCGAAAAATAGAAATTGTCAATTCTGAAACGTTTAGAATTTTGTTTTTAGATTTAGGGATGATTTGACAAAAATTACGAACTGTAGTTTCTATTGGTTTGGTTTGTATTTTAGTGTCGTATTTGAAATACATTTCAAACACAGAATGCAATTTTTAGATTTCTAGGATAGAATTTCGTTTCGTACATCCGAAGGAAAATGTGAGCTTTGTGAAAAATAATTACCGAGAAATAGAGATCAAGTACAGATCCAACGATGTCAATGTTAAGATAATATTTAACACGACGTGGAAAAAGTCCTTTGTGAAACGATTTAGACGAACAAAAAGGAAAAAACCACAAAAAGGAAGAATATTTCCCGCTACGAATAGAAATAACGCGAATGTAAAGGAATAGAAGGAAATTTGAATCTTCGTCCAGTTTCATCGATCAAATTTTCGTGAAACGTGACGTTCTATTTATCTTCGAATCTATAAGTTTGTTGCGCCAAAAATCGACGAATTCTCTCTTGAAAAAACTCGAGCGTAATTGGATTCCATGGGATGGATACTTCCATACCGTTCCACACAATTAGGATCCCCATGTAATAAAGCGAGCGCGATGTTATAAAAGGGATATTCCTTGCTTAACGCGACGTTGTTCCAGCCGAATACTAACGTTGAGATATTGGACCTGTCTAACGCAATTGCAATTGAAGCGTCCTTACAACGTTTTTGAGACGTCCATTCAATTTGGTTAATGCAGACGCCTACTCCGCGAACGAAATCTCTTGAGAAATTTGACGATTCGTAATTTGCAAGACTACGGCGCAAAGCGGAAACTCTAATCGTTTTAAACGCAGTACAGCGCAAGAAGTGAAAGTCTCTCCCTTTTGATATTTGTAATTTCGTGTGGCATTCGCTAGAATTATCTTACTATGCCAATAGCGTGGCGAATTTATAGAAAATTTATAGAGAATTGTTCAAGAACCATCAGATTTCCAATCTCTGGATAACTCGAGATATTTTATTCGAAAATTTTTGAAATTTACTACTGAAATTGTTGGTGATTTTATTTATTTACGATAGAGTAGAGCGAAGGCTTAAAGTGAAATATTGAAAATTGGAAAGCGGAATATTATAAAAATTGAAAGTCGAGATGATCGAAGTTTGAACGAATGATTTAGATTAGATTTAGTTGATTTAGATTAAATTTAGATTCTACATTTTATACGATAAATGCCATTCGTGGTTTGTATCGCGAAGGACATAGATGGATACGGAAATTTAAAATACCTAGCTGTTAGTCACATCTGACTTCACAAATTAAGGGGTGAAGACCGTAACATCAATCAGCCAGAGGCAGAAAAGGAGAGAAGAGGCGATTTTTTATTCATGAGACCAACAAAACGCTCACCTGTTGCTCGAAAGAGGAAACTATGTTTTAAGCACGTTCTTGAAATACTAATGAAAGCAGCGTTAGGCAGGAATTCGATAGATTGTTTATAACATTAAATTCAACTTTTCGATAATTCCTCAGTGTATTAAATTTTAATTTCTATAATGTTTACGATATTTCATTTCCCTCTTTGAACGTTCATACTTTCTTATTGAGCGAATTTTTCGTAAAATTAATTAAATTCAAATATCTAATCATCTCTTAATATATTAAGTTATAGTTCTCGATATAATTAGCGATTAAACTTTGATGGTCTCCTAAAGAAACGCGAACGAGTTTATAACGCTGACATTAAAGATATTAAATTATATCGTATCGCTATATTTTCGCTCTCTTAATCGTCACATATCTTGGAAGCAGCGTGTAGATAAAAGTCGAGTCAATTTTTACTATCCGCACCATTGGGAAAAAAGTCGTTGGAAGAAGAAAAGAAACACGAAGGAAAGTAGACAGAGAAATTAGAACTGTGGAAAAAGTTAGAAAAGATGAGGACGGAGTGCTGGAATGAGAAGCAGTGCCCGACTCGAAATGTCTCCGGTCATAGTAAACGTGACAGACAGTCCGGAAGAATTCTAAAAGTACAGTTGTAAAAAGAGACGACAGAAAAGTTTTGCGAGAACGTACCCATCGGTGACAAATCGCATGGTACAAAAGTAACGTTAGCAGTTTGCTCTTTTCGACGAAGAAATCAAAATGACAACTCGTTGTGCTTTTTATGAAAGAAACGAGTACACTCGGCGAAAACAATTAACCACTGTTTCAAAAAAAAAAAAATTATAAATTGTAATTTTAATCTTTCTTTTCTTTTCTCGTGAGATTGACGGCAACTGGTTCTTTTTCTCATCGCTTGTAACTGAATCAATTATAGCTGTATGAAGTATAGATGGTTTGATTTAACGTAGGATACTTCAAAAAAGATTATTCTTTTAATGGAAAACCTTATTATTCCGTGTGCCAAGATTCGTCAAATTACTAAATTACGATGGGGCGCGAAACTTCTGCGAAGGAATTTCTTATTAACACTAGCACTTGAAGAATTTCAATCTCCGTAGAATCCTTTCTTCAATTTACATGCGTATTCTAATAAGTATCGCATTTTCGGCCATCTAATAATTTCATTTTTGTTACTAGCTTCATAATCAGCGGATTACTTTTTATCGGACATGATCATTTTCTGGGACAGGAGTAATTAACGCGTTTTGTTTAAAATTCCACGTATAGTAAAGCAATACTAAATTACGGAGAAATAATAAGTTTACATGATCATAAATAGAATTTACCTACGAAGACATTCAAATGAAATTTTGTTATTTTAGTTGTGTCGCATTACATTCCATACAAATTATATATGTACCTTTTTCTTGTTGATTTCTTAATTTTGACATCACTTGTTGTATAAGAAGTTAATTGTCAGATTCGGAGGTATAAGTCTCCTAAATTAGATGATAAATTTATGAACTTTCGTAAACAGTCAAGGATACATCTAATATTACGACAATCGATATTTTCTCAATGTTCAATGGATTGTAAAAACACGTATTTAATTATTTATGATGCGATAACTATTGCTTACGAAGTTATTAAGATTTATTAAAATCATCGTACACATTGTAACAGTTGGGGTGAAATGTCAAATGTTACTTTTCTATCTGAATAACAAAACACTTTTTTTTCCTAAAAGATATTTCAATCGTCGCTTGAAAATGATTCCTCATTTATTATTTATCGCCAGGGCATTTTCCCGTGTTTGCGTGTTTGCCACGCGAAAACATTGTCTTCAAACATAGCGAACGTTTCTCTACCCCGTATAAAAACAGTTGACCGATCGTTGGGCAGATTGTTCGTCAACTCGAAAACGTTGGTGCTCGCGTTCGTAATTATTTCGCTATTCTTTTGCATCACGCAGATAGAATTCGTTATTTCTAAACTATTTTTAGATGTATTGCAAATATTTATACTTAAAAGAATATATGTATTTTCATTTTATTAATGGTTTATTAATGGAACACGACATCTCTTTGACCTGTCAGTCACGATAAAAGGTAAAAAGAGTTTCAAAATTTTTAATTATGCGAGGAATGATCGATTTGTTTGCGACGTGTCTACGAACAAAAATTTCTCATAGCCCACTTTGTGTTTGTATAACGGATGGCTGACTTGGATAATAAATTTTCGCTATAGCGACAGGCTGTGGAGGCGTCAAGAACGATGCATAATAAAATTGTATGATCCACGATGCACGAATGTTAACTAATGATCGATGCAGCCGCAAAAGACAAACGACGATACAACAAAAAAGTATCTCTTCTTTCGTGACACCCGTTAGTAACGTGTAACGACGTTAAATTCGAGCTTTGTGCCAATGTGAACAAGCATTGATGAGAGTTTGAATAAAAACGTAATAAGAAACAAGATCACCCTACTTTTTTCCAGCCAATGCCGAAGTAACTTGATTAATTGCTCAGGGAAAATAGCGAGTTTAAAAATGAGTTATTCGTTAATGAGAAGAGTCATGGACTACTGTTGATTATTCTAATTACATAAACAATCGCTTGATCTTGCTTCAATTAGTTGCGACAAATGTAAATAAAATTAGCATTCGTTGTCCTGATGGATATGCTATAAAAATAAATATTTTCACGAATGTAAATAAAGAAATGGTATTTAAATATTTAGATTTGTTTTATCTTTTCAATAATGGAAACAATACTCATTTTTACGATTTTTTCATATTGTGTATAGATATTTTGTATATGTTCGCATATTTATTTGTATATTTA